GTGCGGCAGATGCAGCTCACTGTTGAAGTCCGAACGCTCCCTAATGCAGCTCTTTTAGCTAATGCTAACTAGCCGCTGGCTTTAAGGAATGCAGCTTTGTAGATCCAATATGAGCCTTACACTTGGCAGTCGGGCGGGGTTGGGACTATGGCTCGCCTTGCTCAAGTACTTTACCAGTGATGAACTGATTTGAGACAGCAACCAAAGAAAGCAAGTGGCACGTTTCAAATCACCAAATCTTTACATGAATCCACATCAACATAGCATTTGGTGATATCGAAGTCCGGCGACGAGTGATTGTCCCTATTATGAGTTCCGTTCATGTCGCTTCGCAGTTGGATTTTTACTATCGAATTGAGATCGAATGGTATTTGTGGCATGTGCGACTGGATGCCCGGGCTTATTCGGCCCTGAGCCTTCCCGACAAAGACTGCGAAGAGCTGGCCTGAAGTGCGGTCCAGGGCTACTATATGGCCCGACTCTCTCCATTCGTGCTCCGAACTGGGTGCTTTTGGCTTTATGATCAGATATCCCAGCTGCATCAGGTGCAGTGAGCGAGTATCTGTTGGTGACAACCCGGCATTTTCAGGGTCGAGCCGGAGCAAACCTAGAGATGAAGGTGAGGTCGTCGTGTGTTCCGCAGGTCTCACTTCAGAAGAGTCTAGAACATCGACGGGGCAGCGTTGAGGTACCCAGGCCAGCTCTAGCGGTGTATCTTCAGTGGATGATTGAACAACCGGAATCTGTTCACCTCCATACTCGTCTAAGCAATTGGCAAGTCTGGTGAGATCTGAAAACGATCCAGAACAACCTAAAGCTTGCATTTCGGCAATCAAGCGTTCGCTGCTTTCGTATCCAGTGCTGTCTCCATCCATCGTAAGAAGAGGGTGTCCGGTCGCATTGTAACTGAGGTCAGATATGCTCGTGTGAAGAGATTTTTCGGGCAGCCAGTTGATCCCTAGCCTCCTCTCCATGTGTTCGAGTTGGACTTCGAGTATCTTGAGGTATTCATCCTCGCCAGAGAGACGAGATAGCAACTCGCAAATTTCTTGATTAGCGAGAAGTACACTCAGATTTTTGAACTCCGATATATAAGGAAGGGTGTTATCAGCGCGCTTTGAGATTTCTTCCAGATACGTGGTGGCCATCGCGACATCCCCTTCCACAATAAGAGCCATTATACAGGAATAGGCAGTGTGGAATTTGTGATCGGCTGGTTTGGCAGACAAATGCTTCAGAACACCGCCCCATACACTATCGAGCAATTTACGGCTCTTTAGCTTGACGAGCAATCTAAAATACCGTTCAATTGATGCCATCGGTTTTCCAGGTAGAGCCCAGAACAATATGGTGTGCAAAGTGACTTCTGAGGCATCATCGACACCGGATTCGCCAGTCACTCGCTCGAGCATAGAACAGGTATCTGGATGATCTCCTTGAAGCTCGAAGGATCGGATGGACATGTAAAGTGCATCCACCAGGGCGACACTCGGGCGCAAACCCAACCGCCTATGTCTGACAGCAAGTAAATCTCGCAGATGGCGTTCAATGGCAGCTGTAGAATAAGAAAGGCATGCGTAGTAAATCCCCAGCATGTGTAAGTTCCTATGAAGAGGCGCCTGCAGTCTCTGTAATCTTGAAAGGAGTGCATTGATAGCAACAAGGATCTCCGCAGCCGAGTGGTGTCGTTGACAACGCTCCAGCGCCTGCGCCAGAAATTTACAATGATCTGCCTGCAGTAATACACAAGCCCCGTATCCATTAATGTGTCTTTCTATGAAGATCTGTAGATGACGAAGATTCCGCACATCATGCTTGAGACCTTTGAAAAACACTGCCTTATCAGTGCTGGCGGTTTTTGGGCGGAGAGAGCTCCACAAAGGTGGAGGTAGAGTAGTCAGGGGCCATTCGCCTGAGAACACATCGTTCAAATGGTCGTCCAAGTCCTGCTTTGACACATCTTGTCGCAACGTTTTTGTCGTTCCCGTCAACGCATACCGAAGAATCTGAGATGGAGTAGGTTCATGGTTTGGGGTTTTTATTTTAGTGATTACCGATACCGAACGATACTGTTGTTGCGATCTGTAGCGTTGTGGGAGGCTCAGATGCTTCAATGGATGGTCAACTCGGCGACACAAAAAGTAAGCCATCTGCCACTCTGCATTGCCAGGAGAATCATAAACCGATTATATCACCCTGGAATATCGATGGTGGGAGGGAGATTTGTAGCCTGAGTACAAAATACAAAGCTATTCTAAAGGCGGTAAGAGGATTGGTGGTCAAGAATACCTGAGCGCTGTCGTAGATTGAATTTCATCATCGATCCTGCATCCGGCTTCCATCTATCTCGCCTAGCCTGCATTAAAATTTCTTTGAAGGCCTACAACATAACTTTGTACCAGGTCGACGCATATTTCAGAAAGAACCCCCGAAGGACCTGTGCGACTGCCACGATTATGCCTTCTGAGTGCGTTGACGAAGTGTCTGCGGCTAAACCTTCCGACGACAACGCCGCTTCAAACCAGACTCAGTCTGATGAAGCTCCTGCTGAGCCAGCAGCTTCGGAAGAGTCTCAACAGAAGACCTCATCCAAAAAATCAGAGAGCACAGAAGATGATGCAGCCGCAAAAGCTCGCCAGCGGCAAGAAAGATTCAAGGCCCTTCAAGCTCGTGCTGTGAGTAACCTGGTCGCAACCGTCAAATAATCCACCATTTCAGCTTCTCGCTTGCCTTCCGAAAGTAATGTATATGCTGATGCTCAAACAGAAAAATGCAGCTGAGCGCAACCTGAAAGAAACGGCGGCCGAAACCCAGCGTCTAGCCACTGATCCTTCATTGCTCTCTTCATTGTCGCGCAAGCACGCATTTGCATCTCACAATCTTCTCAAAGCAGATACAGAGGCTGCCGGCGAGGACTTTGAGCGTAAGAGAGCTTGGGATTGGACCATCGACGAATCCGAGAAATGGGATCGGCGTATGGAGAAGAAGCAGCGTCACCGCGACGATGTTGCGTTTCAAGACTACACCCAGGATGCACGGAAAGTATACAAAAGACAGCTACGCGAAATGCAGCCTGATCTTGGGGCCTATGAAAGGGAGAAGCTGGCTGCGATTGAGAAGGCAGCTGCAAATGGTGACTTGGAGATCGTTGAAACCAATGATGGTGAGATGATTGCGGTCGACAAGAATGGTACTTTCTACTCGACGGCAGATACGATTGGATTTACGGAGAACAAGCCGGATCGAGCTGGAGTCGACAAATTGGTGGCGGATCTGAGAAAGGCCGAAGAGGTCCGACTTAAGAAGCGCAGGGATCGCCGTAACGATGAAGAACCTGATGTCACGTATATCAACGAGAAGAACAAACAGTTTAACCAGAAGCTGGCACGCTTCTACAATAAGGTATGGCTCTTCACGAAGACTTCGACTTGACGAACGGAACTAATGCCTTTCAGTACACTACGGAGATTCGTGACAGTTTCGAACGCGGTACAATGATTTGATCCAGTGCTACCTGCTTAAGTCTAATATACAGAGCGGGACTCCTTATTACATCCCAATCGGTGAAGTGCCTAACCTCATCCACCTCTCGGCAGCGGCCTGCCAGGGCAATCTCGAAAACATCAGAGGTTGGATTCAAAGCATGCTTTTTCTCCACGCTTTGGTTGCCAGGTTTTCTATCTGCTTCGTTCCTACCGCACCCTGAATGGACTCGTCCTCCATCGCTTCCACTACAGCTTCGCCCACAAGATCCACCCGGAAAGGCTTATCGACCATCGCGCCGAGGAACCGAAGCCTGTCACCCAACAGAGCGTTGAATTGGGAGGCAACAAAACCACCCAAGGCTATCGGAAGTGTGAATTTTCTGCTTGAATCATACATGAAGGGCGGTCTGATGAAGATACTTCGCAACTCTGGGAATTCGGACGCTATGGTTGTCTCAGCTTCTCTCTTCGTCGTGATATATCGACTGGGTAGCATTGGTGCTCCCGAGGCGGCTGATATGTATACGAATGTTGAAACATGTTCTCTGGTGGACTCCTTCGCTAGTGCAATGGCTGTTGTTTCCAGTTCGCAGTCAGCTCCGCGTTTTTAGCAAATTGATAGTCCCAACCTATACGAACCAGAATCCCTGTTCATGATCTCATATGTCAACTGTCCGTCTCTCTCTTTGGGCTCCAGCCGCTCTCCATCTCGCATCGTCAGAGGGTTCTGGCTACCCAGCTTGGACGAGCTGAAAGCTCTCTGTAGGCCACTGACAACGGGCTCCTTCCCTCGTACCACACCTTTGTAATCTGCTTCAAGTAGGATGCCCATACTATGGACCACGACGTCGGCATCACGCAAGAAAGGTTTGTATGTGTCAGGCTTAAGTAAATCTGCCTTAGCCCATTCCACGGAATTGGCCCATGTTGGCCGATCGTGTGAGCTAGTAACAGTATCCCATCGAGGTTCTCCGGACCGACTATGCCGTCTAAGCAGGCGCCACCAAGACCGAGGTTCGGGTTGTGAAAGTATACCTTAGAGATGTGACAGACCAGCCTCTGTTCGCTGCCGATTTACAAATTCGCGATCCTGATTGAAAGTCAGCCATTAGCATAACACTATTCAAGAGTGGAAGAATCGCCCACCTAAGAAGCCGTTTCCGCCAGCAACTACTACTCGTTTTGAAGCCATTCTGAAAAACAATTGATGAGGAGATTGAGTTTTCTGCAATTGTTAGAAATAAACCAAATGAACAGTAAAAAATTCGTCCTCAGATGTGCCTCATAGTTCATCAATAAAATTGCTAGAGTAAGCTAAAGCTCCGGAACGACTGCTTCCGACTATCGTCATCGACCATCGATAGTGATTATCGGTCACGTCACGTGCCGAGCGAAGGAGGCAGTTTACGGTACAGGTCCGAATAATTAAATCCAGAAGCCTACGTTCCAACAGCTCGTTAAAGCCCATAAAATTTGCCGCATCTTCATTTATACCTTGGGCTAATATCACGCAGGATGCCTTCAGCGGCCGGAACCAAGCGCGTCAGGGTTCGTGCCAAAGTTGATCTCTTCGATCAGTTGCATTATACTGACCAGTGCTCATCGCAGGGTGTCTCGATTTTCAGACCGTTCAGTATGTCAACTTGCCCATGCTCTTGAATTTGTAGGGCTTCAGCTTCTAACCATTCCCAGTATTTGGTAGCGAAGCACGGCCATTCGACCCTGAGAAGAAACCCCCTCATGTCCCAGCAGATCACACCCACCAGTGGCGCGTATTTGTGAAAGGAGTCAATGACGAAGACATTTCTTACTGGCTGAAGAAGGTTCAGTTCAAGCTACACGAGACATACGCGCAGAATGTACGCACCATCGAGCAGCCACCGTTTGAGGTTACCGAGACTGGCTGGGGTGAATTCGAAATCCAAGTCAAGCTCTACTTCGTGCCGGAGTCTGGCGAGAAACCACAGACACTATGGCATAGTTTGAAACTACACCCATTCGGGCCCGGCGCGGAGGTCAAGAAAGAGCGCAGAGAGGTGGTGATCAGCCAGAATTACGAGGAGATCGTATTTAACGAGCCTATGGAACCGTTCTACGACCTCCTTACAGGCGGACCTGCCTCCCAGCAAACGCAGAAGGGCAAGGGAGGGAAGAATACAAAACAATCTGCGCAGCAGCGTGTAGGTCGGACCGCCGAAATACCTCAGAATGAAACCCCGGAGAACCCCTACAGCAAGACGACTGAGAATAAGGAGCTGGATCGTTTAGAAGCGGCCAACAAGACGGTTGAGCAAATGATCAAGGAAGAAAGGGAGCGCCTGATCGAACGCGAAAAGAGGCTGGCCGAGCTGCGAGAAAGCGAAGGCATCCCTGCCAACACTAAGAAGAGATGATCGTTCTTGCCCGCCGGATAGCTATTAAAACAGATGCTTGCTTCGAATCTTGGGCCATCACGCATCCCAATCTATCCACTAGCTACGACCTCTGCGACATGCTCACTGCATGCTCTTCGTGCCCAGGAAGAAGTCGGCCTTCTGCCACCGTCTCCTCCGCCTCCATCCACCCAGCGCCCCGACAGATGAACACCTTACATGAGTATGCAGTCATAGACCAAATTGAAGGCTTAAGGTCGGCACATGCGCGTCGGTCCAATTATTGTCTCATGGTTCGCTACTTTCAACGCAATTGGGCTTTTCGAATGAGTTGGCATGGGATACTGGGGCAACCACGACAAGTCTGGGGAGTCAACACCTGTAAATTGTTTTCAAAGACCTTCTGGTGTATAGCACCCAATGTCAGTCACGTTATTATACTCATGCTTGCAAAAAAACCCTCAAGAAATGTTCCTCGCGTCAACGTACTACCTACCATTCATCATTACGATTGCTGTCTTGTAGCCAACCCATCAAACAATTGTCCCACTTGACGTCAGACTCGAAAATTACACGAGGATCGTCGGACAGCCTTGGCTGAATCTAATTTTTGACTGATCATATTACTTCCCCTTGCATATTATTAAATAGTCACACGGGTCTTTGATTGGGTTTCCGCTTCCGTATCCGCTTCCGGACATATTGTCCAATATCCACCCATAACCGCTTTGAGCCGGCTGGTCTTCGGATGATATGGATATGACAGAATGCCAAAGAAAGTTATTTGTAATGAAATATCTGCAAATAGTTATGTGGGGCCAGGTTAACTACATGTATGATATGCGATGGGTAGGTAGTAAAGCTGAGTTCTCATTCAAATGAATAAAGATGAAGTGATTTATGTACAAACCCTAACGCCGTGCTCCGTGCTCTAAAAAGAAGTAGGGGATATCTACTCTCTACTCATTAATGCTCGCCTCTGATGAAATATCATGAAAAATCCCACCTTAATCAGTATACTTGGCCGCAGCTTTTGTCGTATCCCGAGTCTGTTTCAAGAATGGGATTAGGTCGGTTCCGCCTGTACCACTGTATCCTGCTGGAGTGTCATTCGGACGTGCGACTTGCTTCGCTGCTGTCACAGTTGCCAGATTGACGTGCGCAGACGAATTTTGGTTTGGATTTGTCCTCGAAGGCGTGATAATGTATCGCGAGACCATCTGAATATGCTTATCCCGGAATGCGCCAACAGCCATGACTGCCGCGTTGTATGCGTTCCTGACCTCTGTATCTGCTTTGTAGCTCATGGCGAATTGGCGCACGTTCGAGGTTCGAATCATCATCTCCAGGAAACGTCTGTGAGGGCCAGGCATGTAGTTTCGCATGTCCTACGTCGAGGATAGTTAGTTGCTGGTGCTCGACTTTGAATGAGGAGTCCGAGTGAAAGTAGTTGCTTACCTGGATATAGCCAATCTTAGGCTTGGACTGAGGTGCACTGTTCACTTTCGCTTCTCCCGTGGCTGAATGCTCCACACCCAAAAAGATATCGAATGTTTGGATTAGTGAGCTCTGCGCATTGCTTCCCCCGCTGTACTGATGCCACTCTCCGTGGCCTCCCAGATCGTAGAAGACACCCTGCGGCAGTCCAGCTGAGGCCATATTCTTACTACCAGCCAAGAAAGGGCGGAGTTGATAGAAGAAGACGGAGGGGTTGCACTTTTCATACATCCTCTCCAGAATTTCGCCAAGCTCTTGCAGGCCATCTCTCAATTGATAAAGTAAAGTGGTGACTCTTTGATGGTCAGCCAGGTTGGCTGCATATATGGCGTTGAGCATCAGGGTAATTAAATCCGCTCCTTTGGCTTCGATAGCAACAGAGACCATGAAGAACCATTCTTCGTCCTTGGTACCGGTGAACGTTGTGATGATAGACAAGTTGTCCGGGTCAGTGAGATCTATATCAGGGGAGGAGACTTTGAAGTTCCAGAGGTTCAAAGCGGCATAGGTAGCACATGGTGGCAGCTCTAAATGCTTTGAGACCTCCAGGATGGGGCACGACACCGCTGGTGGGAGAACCTAGAGAACCATGAGAAGCTGCAATTACATAACGACAAAGGACGCATACGTCTTTTGGCCGTTCACCTCCCCAGATATAGGCATGAGTGATGAAAGCAAGCACAACATATGCTCGCCGCCATTCTGATTCTTCCTGCAGCCTGGACGTTGCGAGGATAGGAAGACTGTCAACCGCTTGCCGTATATTTCCCGCTGCGAGCCGAGCTGGTAGATCAGCGACAACTTCCTCCCACGGGAAGTAGTATGGATCGTTCAGTTTCTGCAGAGGAAGGGTGTCGGGAAGAAACCCATTTCGAAGAGAAACACAGAACTGGTCAAGCACGATTTCCGGTGTGTTAAGCATGGCGACGGCCTATTCGACAGTATGAGAATTGAGTGGCCAATTGTGCAAGAGACTTTATAGTCAGAGATTCCGGCAATAAGCCTTAGAAATAGGAATATTCACTCTGTCCATGTCGAAGCCAGAATATATAGGAAGGAACTGGTCGGGCGGAAGAGGGCCGGATCCAACCCGGAACGATAAATTGGTGGCATGAGCACAGGAAACAGTAAGGAGGTAATGTGATATCCAAAGAATGGGGACATGGTCCACTTTTTGAGATCAAGTCACCATACCAATAACCGTGAAAACCAATATTGCGGGTATCACTTTGACAATCATTTCTTCCATGAGCACGGATTCTGAGGCGGAAGCGGATAAGCCTCCCGCTTCCGCCGGGGTCGATGGAATCACCTCGAGACCACGTATAAAGCAAGGAGTGTCGGACAGGCTGTCACAATCACAATCCTCTTGCTGTGATTTCACACCAACAGCACTGGTGCCACATATTCATCCATCATGTCTACCAACGGCACACTATCCAAGCCTGAGTTCCCTGCCAATGCGGCAAGCAAGGAGTATGCGGCCTCGCTAGACGCTGCAGACCCGCTCGCAGGCTTTCGAGATAAATTCATCATCCCATCAAAGGCAAACATTGCCTCTACCAAACTGGCGAAGCCTGGTAAGTAGGATTATACCCAAATAATCGCTCATCCTCGCTGACGAATGTTCCTCAGGCCTTTCATCAGAACCATGTATCTACTTCTGTGGCAATTCACTTGGTATTCAGCCCAAAGCCATCCAGAAATATTTGGAGGCGCAATTGGACACATGGTCATCAATTGGCGTCTGTGGTCACTTCACCAAGATCGAAGACTCCCCATTAAAGGAGTGGCAGAATCTGGCTGAGCAGGCTGCCGAGTCCATGTCGAAGATCGTGGGAGCGGCGCCCGAAGAAGTCGCGGCAATGGGTACATTAACCATGAATCTGCACTTGTTGCTCGCAAGCTTCTACAAACCAACTGCAACCAAACGTAAGATCCTGATGGACTGGAAGGCGTTTCCCAGCGATCATGTGAGTGTGATAGCGTCGCCATACCCGCGTGAGTTATGCTAACCTGTCACCAGTATGCCATCGAATCACATGTTGCCTGGCATGATCTAGATCCTCACGAGACCATGGTGCTCATTGGTCCAGATGAGGGAAAATATGAAATCTCAACGGAGAAGATCTTGTCTTACATTGATCAACATGCAGACGAGGCAGCTCTCGTCCTGCTTCCGGGAATCCAGTACTACACTGGGCAGTTATTCGACATCCCGAAGATCACCGAATATGCGCACTCACGAGGACTTATTGTCGGATGGGATCTGGCTCATGCTTACGCCAATGTCCAACTAAAGCTACACGACTGGGACGTCGATTTCGCAGCTTGGTGCACTTACAAATACGGTAACGCCGGCCCCGGAGCAATGGCAGGTCTCTTCGTCCATGAGAAACATGGTCAAGTCGACTACAGCGAAGGAGAGGATACGCCAAAGTTCCGACACCGTCTGACCGGGTGGTACGGAGGCGATAAGTCAGTGAGATTCAAGATGGACAATAGTGAGTTCCTGGCTTCCGCGCAGGTGACTTGGCCCTATTCAGTTCTAATGTCAGAGCAGAGTTCAAACCAATCCCTGGCGCGGGTGGGTACCAGATTTCGAACCCTTCGGCGATCGATCTTGCATGCTTATGCGCTGCTCTGTCGGTGTTTGATGAGACCTCCATGGCTGAGCTGCGCAAGAAATCTGTCTTGATGACGGCGTACCTCGAGTACCTGCTGTTAAAGGACACCACGGACGAGTCGCGGCAATTTCAAATTATCACGCCTTCCGATCCTGCCGCTCGAGGTGCTCAGCTCAGTCTTCTCCTTAAGCCTGGGCTATTAGCCAAGGTAGCTCATCGACTGCAGGAAGCAGGGATTATTTGCGACAAGAGAGAACCAGGCGTTGTCCGCGTCGCACCTGTCCCATTGTACAACACTTTCACTGAGATCTGGATGTTTGTTCAGCAACTCAAGGCGGCTCTGGATGAATGAATTTCGCTGAGTCGTCATGTTCAAGGCTCAAGTGTAACGTGAGATGATTTTCGGTTACCCCATTGTTGATCAGTATTCATATGGCGAATTCCTATGGCAAATTCCGCACGATAAATGAGGATAGAAGAATACCCAGGATGACTATTTAGCAGCTGTCCGTTTCAATGAATCGTGCCGCTCGTATCAGAAATCTCGTAGGAGAGGTAGCTCCAATCCCCTATTTGTGCCTGGCCTTCCAATGACGAATTTTTGTTTTCAATTTGCGACTCAGCCTTCTAAACGGAGACTTCGTTATTTTCGAGCCATATTTGGTTGTCGCCCTGAGGTGGGAATGGGATAAGGTCTCTGAAGCCTGGTGGGTTGGGTCGTATTCGTTTCGATGCCCAAATATGGATAGACCATCAGCGACAATACAAAATATATCTCCCCTTCAGTGTCAGCAGGTCTCACCCTTCTGACTGAAGATTGCAATTTAGACTCCTTTCCTTTTGGATATACTCATTGCTATCGTGTCAATTATATCGTGTCAACATAATTGACCCTAGCTCGTGGACAGAACGCGTAACTTATAACAATTGATATCTAGTTTGGTACCAACAAGTATAACCCGGTGCCTTCACCAGTGTCAATTTGGCGCAACATGGACTAGTCAGTGGGCTTTTTGGAACGGCATTAGTGCTCGTCAATCTTGCCCTCCGCTACCGTATGCGAACCCTGATCTGGTAACCCATACGAATGCGAGCCTTGACTGGGAAACTACCGCTTATGACGGTTGGTACAATGTTCCACGGTTTGGACAAGAAAGAAGGAAAGATAGTCTTATTGCATGTATAACGACTGCTTTTTTTTCCAGCTGTTACCAGATAACTGCAAATCATTGCTTTATTGGGACAATTCTTCAGCGCAAGGCAGGCTTCATCCTGTGCCATCAATACTATTTGCATTGTTAGGCATCAGTCAATTGACCCGAATACTTGTGACGGTCAATGTATAAAGCATCTGCAATGGCCAACACGAGATCCACTGGTATCCTACCTCCATTGAGTAAGCTATTTGCATGAATATCGGGGACCGCCGACTCTATTAGATCCAACACTCGCATAAGTCACGATGAAACTCGCATTTGAGAACCACCCCAAGATCAAGCTGCGCCTCCATATCATTGTTGGCGCGTTACTTTTCCTGAACTTCGTCCTCATCATTGCACGCATAGCGAATAAGGGTACGCCCAAGACCAGGTCAAACACCTGGGGTATTGCCGTGGTGAGTGTGACCGTATTTCTTATGTGGAGTGATCGAGGCTGGATGCGGCTCAAAGCTGACCGGAAACGTCGAGCTCTTCAGTGTCTCAAGGCTGGCATCTTCCTGGCTTACGAAGTTGTCACGGCTCATGTAGAGCGGTTCAAGCGCTGGGCCAGTGCGAAGGCGTACATGATCCTCAGCGTTATCGACACCGTTTTCTGGTTTGCTCTCTTCATCATCACCATCCTGGGAACGAACGGCGCACACAGTCCTAGCAGCCGTGCGCTCGGTGGCATTGTCGCTACGATAAGCATAATTCTGTGGTACGTGAGTCTCTATCAGAGAGGTGCCGTGATCATCAATGCTTAATGGAGGCGTATTTCTAAGTAGAAGCGCTGATCATTGAGCTGTTACAGTGGACTCGTTAGCTTTCTCGCTTTCATCTATTTTCGCGGATGGAGATACTTCAAACAATATGGCGTCCTTCCAGGCCCGTTTAAAGGATCGAACTAAGGATCTCATTGATCACGGTGCTAACAACGGCTCTGCCAATGATGCTTCTCAGGTTGAGGGTGATCTTGCATGGTGCAATGAGATATTGAAATGATTCAGCAACATGTTTAGGTGTTTTAAATTCGGTACAAGTTGGGTTCTGGTCTCACGTAGAAGACACTTGTATGTATACAGATGAGCCTCGCCAGCAGGATAAATTAGAAGTTACCAATCCCTTCTCTGCTATCGCTGCCACGCAAGAACTCTTGTCCCTGGGAGAAGAAGTTTGTGGCCAGGATAGATAACTCATCGTTGAAGAAATCTGGATGGCGCGGAGATATTGTAGAGCCCATGGCATAGTGTGACTCAACCGGCAGAGCAGGTTGAAAGCCATATTCAGACATTCGTGAACCTGGATGTGATTGTTCAGAGTGTGAATTCAGGCGAGTGGGTTCGGGTAGAGGAGACGTCTGCGATACTTCCATGTCAATGGCAGGGGGTTCACTGTATAACGAATCGCCGAACAAGCGACGGGCAGAGCCCGTATCCCTGTTAAACGAGTATTCGAGGATTTCCCAAAATCGTGACAGATCTATCAGTAGGCTCTTATTCTGAGCCCGTGGCTCAGGTTGATAAGAGGCTGAAACAGCGCCTTCCAGTCGTTGTAGTTTATCCGCCTGTATGATGAGTAGCATTGTTAGTCAACTCATGTTTCGGAGGATAGGAGAGCATCGCTGACCAATTGCGCCATGTGAGGCCACCTTTGCCCAATGTTTTCCACGAACTTGACACATCTATAAAAGCGATCGCGCTTCTCTTCTCGGATGGTTTTATCTTCAGTAAAACTTAACTGCAGTTCGATGGTCGCAACCACAGCCGCGCTGTACCCTAGTAGTGGATCTGACACGATGAAGTTCTTCTCTTCAAAGTAGTTTATGAAATGAATGATCCAGGTGGTATGTGAAGAGATAAGGTCCGAAGTGTGTTGCAAGAATATCTCTGGAATGGTGTTCCGGAAGTTCCTCAGGCTCAGAGACAGGAGAAGCGGATGATTGAGGAGACAGAGGTTTGTATGATAGAGAAATTGATTCAGGAACCACGGACCCCAGTATCCTCGCTTGGCTTGAAGCTCCTCTGACGTCCTCTCGCTGAGATTGGCCGGTTTGAAGCGATGGATGTAAGGCATGCGTGTTTCCAGGTCCATTTGCAGCGCGATAATTTTGGAGTACTCTGATTGCGAGGACCACGGTGGGACACTGCTCGGCCGGCCGTGGCGACGAACGTATCTCGTGGTTTTGGCGAAAACCTCGCTTAGAATGATCACATATGCAATGATCCCCTGGTCTTCCATACCAGTAGACCGAGCCTCATCGGTTGCACTGCTCGGCGAAAAGGGCGAATGAGGGCGCTCAGGGCTTTGTGGGAACGGGGGAAAACTTCCCTCAGGGAACCCCATGCTGTCAAATTCAACACCATGAAAGCGCTTTAAAAGGCAGATGCTCCAGAAGCAGCGTCGCCGCTCTTCGCGGACCACCGCGGACAATGTAGCGTGCGTCTCGGAGCCCAGATTGGCGCATTGAGCCAAGTTCATTGCAAGGCTACTGTGAATGCTCGAGCGATGTGTGTTGCCGTCTGAACGGGGTTAGACTCGAATTCCGTTGACCAATGACTAGACTTACTGGTAAAGTCGATCAAGCTTAGAAGGCAGAGACACTGTAGGGTAGATAATTCAACCGGACCCTCTGAAACTCTCCTCATGACTAGTCCTCTGGCTACCTCTGTGTAGCCGCTCACATGAGTTGCAAGATCATTCAACTCCTGGCAGACTTCGTCAGAGAATCGGATACCCAATGCGAGTATAGCGTAGAGGATTTCAGGATCGCGAGTGCTGAGGCTGCTAAGGAAACTGTCTCTGTGAAAAAGAGGAAGGGGCTGAGACTCGCAATACAAGAGATATAATTCTGCCACAGCGAGCACTTTCTCCCAGGTCGGAAGTGGAGTAATGGCACTGATCATCGATGAGGTGATAGGGCCGCTCAGAGTATTTCGCCGAAGAGATGAGTCGTCTGTCCTCTGCTGTTCGGCTCTAGAGCTGTTCCGTCTAATTGGAAACATTAGTCACTGATCGGGTCTTAGACAAGTGTAGGAATCGCAGTACTCTAGAGCATCAAGAACTTTACCCATCTTCACCTCCAGGCTCCCAAGACGATCCTCCTGAGACAGAGTCAATGTAAAAGAACAAGGCGGATTCGTACAGAGAAGCGAGCTCACCAATGTTCGAGTAATTCGCACTTCAGGGGCATCAGCAGCATTAAAAGTGGCGACGGGGGGTGATCCGTCTGGAGTTGCATGCGGCAGCGACCTGCGTCTTTCTCCAGCGTACGCGCATCTCTGGCGCAATCGTGCGCAGAGCGAGCAGATCGGCTGCTCACCAGGGCATTTTGCCTTTTTGCGCCTATGGAATGGTGAGCCAGCATGCCGAGTCTCGAAGAAAGATGGTCAGGTTTACCTGCATGGTTCGCATGCTTGCCGTACGCGTTTGCTTGGTCGCTCAAGAGACGTTCGGTTCATCTCAGAGCAGACCGGGTTAGAATTGTGGAGTTGACCGGATATACGTTGTGTTCACCGTGTCAGTAGGCAGACCATGCTCGAAATCTCGTATGAATTTCCTACAGAAGCGCTCTGTGGCATCTTTTTACACAAAAGTGAGACTTTTCCACTGTATTTCGTGTCGCATGCCTCTTTTAAGTATTTGATCAATCCCCTAATTGATCACATTGAGAATCAAGGCATTATTGTTAGTGTTCGAAGCGGATACTGGGGTTGTGTCCCATAGTTATCCGTTCGGTTGATTACTAATCCCACCTTGACGATATCACAGGAACGAGCAACATGGCTGGGAGATATCGAGATGGGGGTTCAATGGTATAGGGCTACAAAGTGGAAGTCTCACGTTTACTAGTAAGCGTACAGTACATGAAAGGCGCCTAGCAGAAGGGCATCTCGGAGTAGGAAAATCGAGAAGGCGAGCACCTGTTCCAAGGACGTCTTTCTGAAAGATTGATCAAGCGATATCTGCTGGCATTCAGTACATAAGACCGTCTTGTCATAGCTCAACGGTTGGAATAATTCGACGAATCATTTGAACAGATTGATCAACTCCTCCATTGATACCCTGGCTGGTCTTATATACAACGTCGTGATATTTCCTCTCAAACCAACACGTCTGTCGAAATAGAAATACACCGCTAATGGATCCAGGGGACGCTAGTCCATGTGATTGATTGGCAATGGGCGAAGATTTATCTAGTTCTTGCCGAACCAGGTCTTGTGGCCCTATTTGAATGTCAGTCCACGAACTCGCACAAGCCGCGAGGATATCCGGCTCCAGGGATGTCGTAACGAGCGAGGGATACTAACAAGAACCATACGGCACATGGCATAGGTGGTGGCTAAAGTGAGTTAGCTACGAATGACTCCTTCAAAGCGCGGCAGAACTCACCAATGCCCAAACCGTAAACGGAGAGGAGGTAGGGGTACATGAGGTACTTGCTACGCTCGGTCTTCAATGAACAAAGTACCAGTCAGCGAAACACAGTCATTGAGATATATATGTGTCACCCGCGGGCCAACTGACCTTCCACCACTGACGCTTGCCATCGTGCTGCTGGAAGAGACGCTGGTAGTAAGGGACACGGTTCTCGCGGAACACGAATCTAAAAATCCCAGGCAAAAGGAGTCAGTAAGGCATAGAGCAATTGAGTATTAAGAGGAGAAAAATGGCAGATTGCCGACAGGAATTGGACGGCCATAGGCGATCATCCCACCCACGTCGTGATATGCTACCGGTTGAGTAGGAATTGAATCGGGAAGAACGTACCCAGCCATGCGGGGAACAGTGCGGAACATCTTGACGGCGTGTAGATGCTATATCGCAGCTTCTAAATGAGGTAGACAAGTTTGGTGGGAGAAGGAAGACCAGCAACAATGATCAGTCGATGCCGCGAAGTGTGGATCCGGATTTGGAGCTGCAAGTCAAGCCTCAGGTGACTTTCCTCGTTCTTCCGCCAATTCGGATTAAGTGCTTAGTAATAATCACATGACTTGTATTCTATCACGATTATTCCAAAGGCAGTATCTGTCAGTGTAAATTTGAGAGCTCAATGCGAAACGATTGGAGCCATTCATTCATTTGTCGCTTCATTCTCAATGGTCTCTATCTGTCGATTCTTGAACTATCGATGAGGAGGATGCCCAGAGGCCGCTCTATCACCTTACCTTTCCATTCTCAGGACTCATGCGCCCGGCTCTCCTTCGATTATTGAAGAGACCGTCCGCCGTCTCGGTTCTCGACTCTCTAATATCGAAGTCCATCGGCATCGAGCAACTGGAGTCCAAAAATAAATGTTTACGATGCAGTTTGCGGAAGGCGCACCAAAATGCGGGCGTTCGGCGATGCGAGGTCGAGGAACCCAGCAGCAACGAAACTCGTACGCGTTTGAATAAATCATCGACCTCGCGCCCCTTCAGCTTTCATGTGTATGACATACAGTTGCATCGGAATACAAGACAGGACTGTACAATGCGACAAGGTACCACTCCCAAATCATCAGTGGCCGACAAAGACACCTTTTTGCACTTTGATCTACAGCCCGACAAGCTAGACTTCGAATCGGATATCGGCCACACCCAGGACATCGGTACTCGCCTTGTCGACGATCCGGTCTACCGACAGAGGCTGGATCTTTGGGAGCAGCTGCTTCGCTATCGGCAGCGACACTATGGAGACAGAGGGACACTGGATATCTGGGTAGCTTTGACGGACCGAGTGGACGGTGTCGACCTGCCGGTAGTCGGGGATCAAGCCGATTTCTTCTGGCACAGTTTCCTTGATCTGGGGCTCAAGCGGGAAGTTATCATGGGGGAGGTGTTGGCCTATGCACTGGAGCTTTGGAAGAGGACAGGAAGCCGATGGTACAAACTTTACGAAGTCGTCGTTGGTGGATACCTCGAGCGAGGTATGACCCAGCATGCTATTCGATGGCATAAGAAACTTCAGCATCCTCATCTATCCTGTCCAAATGATATAATGAGGGTCTTTGAACCAGCTTTAACTATGATCAATGAATCGACCAAAATTGGCCTACCAACGACGGCCACACGACGCTCTGTATCTCCTGGCATTAGCGCTTTCAAGAACATATGCCGACTTACGGACGGTCACCAGATATATGGCTGTGCCATCTCACAGCTGTTGCAATTGGGTCGTGTTGATGATGCATTTTCTCTGCATTCGTTTCTGGTTGAGAGCCATGACCATCCGCAAACCTACGAGGAAATCCAGCCCCTGCTCCAATGTGCGAAGAATCTCAGCCCGAGAAAATTCTACGAACTCCAAGCTTACAGCAAGGATCGCTTCCCCGACCGAGTGACATCGGCTGAGGAGGGTGCCTCTGCTAAAGAAGACTATACACGAGAGTCAAACGGAAAAGTTTGGCTTCAAGAAAAGCCCTTCAAGGATGAACTGGGCGCACGGCTCTTCGCCACCAAAGCCCTTGCCTTCGACACAACCGTCGCGGGGTTACGAATGTTCGGTGTACAGGCCATTGGGCCGCAATCGCTGCGAGAAATGGCAGTTCGGGCTCAAGGGAGCCAGGACCTTGTAGCTCGATTGCGAGAACTTCACAGAGCGGGCATCTCCATTGGCGATTCGGTTTTCGCACGACTAATCCGTAAACTGGTCTCGGAAAATCGCGACATACTTCTGTCGGACTTACTCCATAGCGATCAGCATCCCGATGTACTGGAAGATGCGGTGATGCAAGAGTCGCTGTTAATATCGTACTATATCGCTCGCGACTGGCGTCCCTATAATATGACGCTTGCCATACTTACAGAAATATTCGACGATGGGTCTAAGCTGAGCAATATCCACTTTCGGAAATTCATCGCCTCGGGTGAATGGGCTTCTGCGTCCAAGATGGTGGACGAAATGACACTAAGCGGTCAAAATCTCGCACAAGAAAGCGTGGACTTTATGGTCAAGCATACTCTTACCCCGCGTCGACCAGGGGTCGGACCAGTTCAAGGGACAGACGTCTCATCCAGCAAAGAAGTTTCTTTTGTTTTCCGTGTTTTGCAGCGCGTCGTTCCCATGGGCACATCCGTGTCTCCTGATCTCTGGATTGAGATGTTGAAACGACTCGGGATGACAAATCACTGGGATGAGCTTCGCAGATGCTGTCTGTGGCTCGCTCGCCAATATTCCGCTGCTCCAAAACCGAGCGATGCAGCCTCTCTCATCATAAATTCTACGGACCGGCCAAGGCGTGGAGCTGACGGCGTAGCCCGGGATGATGGCGACCGGATGTTGCAAGCTGTCTTTAGCAAAAACATGCAGGCAGCTATTGTCGCGTGGGGATTCAAAATGCGAGTGTCTCCAAATCCCGATCACGAAGGTTATAGTGCCCTAGGACTTAAGAACCTTGTACCCTGGGTACGAGGTTTAGTGCTTCTACGCGAACTGGAGCACAACGGCATCCGTCTTTGTCACAGCTGGATTCGTCGGGCCTGCCGACATCGCTTGGCTGTTCTCTTCGGCCACTCAAGGCAATCCAGCCGACACATGAACCGCATGTTACGAAGGGAATGCCCCTATTCTCCGGAGCGCGTGATTGCAGACATCGACCGTGTGTGGGGGCATCCACCCCTTTTCAACGGCCAGCAAGACGACGATTTGTCCTTGCTGGTCAATCCTCCAAGTTCGAACATGTCCCGACGAAGGACCGGACGAACCCTATGGAGAGAAGCTCGCCTGAAAGGAGCGGCATTTGTCAAAACCAAATGAACTGCTATATATTAAGGACCACTATGTACATACAACTTTATATCATTAGTCCTCCCCCTATGCTGTAGCTCCGCCCACAGTCCATCTAGCATCAGGAGTACTCCTATGAGGGTCCAGATCACTGCGTAGGCAACACGTGACTGGATCCCCAGGCAACGTCGATAAAGAACTCTGAGCCACGGAAATGGCGTGTCCTTCCTCGGCGACTCAGCCCCTTCATTTTGGGGTTATATTCCGTTCTAAGAATAGCCCCAAAGCAACGCGGCCCAGGCTTACTGAATCATCTCTGACATTCTCTGTGGGACTGTCCCACCAGCGCAGTCAGCACTGTCAGATCGCCTCCAATCCTCTCTGACGTTTAATCCTAAGTGGATCTCACAACGCAATCACTGCGATGCCGAGCCGTCAAGCAAAGCCCGTTACGGAGTAGTGGATAGCGAGTTTGAGTTGATACTTTTTCCAGACTGCGTGGATAACATCAAGTGCCTGGCGCAGATTACATTCAATAGTCAATAATAAACAGTTATTTCAGACCTTGGTTTTCACCACCATTCTTCATTACATCAACCCGCTTTCCCATTCCAACCTGAAACAAGTTTCCTCCGCATTTTTGTACTGCAGAGAATATCTACATTCCGGGAATCTGCATACCGAAGATCTATTCCGTCCCCAGTACTTGCATAGTCGCATCTAGATAGCAGTGTCGTGTTCTTCATCACAAGTTACAGGAGAGGCAACCAGCATGCTAGGACTATTAGGACTCGGTGTCCTAGCACTTCTCCCTTTGACATCCTCAACGGCACTGCTCCCTCGAGAAACAGCATGCAATAACTCTCCTAGTCTCTGCTCAAAGCCCTATGGGGAAATCACACATCTGGGGGCGCACGATAGTCCGTTTGTACGAGATTCATCGACCGGCTATTCGACCGCAGCGAACCAGTAAGATGAATTCGCGACATATTGTACGGCAGCAGCCAAGCATTTGCTAATACTTACTATAGATACTACAACACCACTTTACAGCTAGATGCTGGCGTTCGCATGGTAACGGCGCAAGTCCATTTGAAAGGCTCGGAGTGGCACCTGTGCCATTCGAGCTGTGAGCTGTTAGACGCGGGGAAATTGAGCACATGGTTAAAAGAGATCAAGAGCTGGTTAGACTCGAATCCGAATGACGGTATGTTGTGTCTTGACTCGGGCATGCATGGCTAGCTGAATGTTGACATTTCTTTCTCTCCAGTCGTCACAGTTTTGCTGGTCAACTCTGATAACGCCTCTGCCTCCGATCTGAATTCCGAATTCAAATCTGCAGGAATAGTCGACTACGCATATAAGCCCTCCTCCGCATCCGCACCAAGCTCGTGGCCTACCTTGCAGACTTTGATCAATAATGGGACTCGGCTGATGGTCTTTGTGGCGTCCTTGGACTCCAACACAGATGCCCCTTACCTCATGGATGAATTTACGTTTGTGTGGGAAACTAGCTTCGATGTAACTTCGCCGTCGAACTTCTCTTGCAGTCCCGATCGGCCATCCAGCGTGAAGAATGATCTCTCCGCTGCCGTCTCGTCCAACCGCCTGCCTCTGATGAACCACTTCCTGTATGCTGCAACGATCCTGGGTATAGAGTATCCCAACTCTACTTACGTGACGACCACAAACGCTCCCTCCGGCGGAGTGGGGAATCTAGGAGACACAGCGACGAAGTGCCAGATCGCTTACGGCCGTCAGCCGGCCTTTATCTTGGTTGATTTCTTTGACAAGGGTCCAGCCATCGATACCGTGGATAAGCTGAATAATGTCACATCGCCTGTTGGGCGTACGAATCTCACAACTAGCTCGAGCTCGAGCACGACCACGCAAACAAGCTCTGCCTCGACCTACTCGAACGTCTTCAAGGGGTTGGTTGAGTTAGTACAGCAGGCGAAGTCGGGCTCGAATCCCAGTATGGGCGACTGGGTTTGGGTTGGGGGAGACTGGGGAAGCCTGCTCGGCGGCGGTATAACACTGTAGCCGCAGCCTCATTTCATGCCGCTCATACATTACTTCTTCAATTTTGCGATATTCTTGAACCAGGTGCATTTCTGTGTCGCACAGTGCATGGTTGGCGTTTGGGAGTTGGGAATAATCATGCAGCAGAGATATCAGGGTCTTGTGTTGTTATGTCTCTAGGCGATTTTCAATGTGGATAGTATTCCTAGACCAATATAGAATTACCTACGTATCGAGAACCCGCAACGCCTCCGCAATGCCATATGATCGTACACACTTCTCTTTACCAGCACTCAAAGGCGTTCACTGATCCTGTGCCAACAATTGCCGCACTTTATTCACTTTATCCTCAAACGACTGCTCCTTATCAGTCCTGGAACGGGGAATCGAGTCAGCTAGCGCCAAGGCCAAATCAGGGAGTAGGAAGAGCAGAGAACAAACCTCGACCCAACCCGGATATCAGTCTGGATCCGAACGATACCCTGTTGGTGCAATAGCATATGCGCCTGACCAATGACCTGGTGGACCTTGTCCCAGGGACCCTCTATTCCAAGGCCCGATATCAGTGACCGCGCCAGTTGACCAGCTTCAGGATGAATGCAGGATTCCAGAACGTACCCAGTGTTGTACCAGCCGAGTGCATCACATATTTGAGTCCGGACTTTTCAATTAGGCGCTGGACATCTGCGATTTGGGAGGATACGGAAGGAGAGGAGGTCCCGATCTGTGATTTGAGAGTTCAAGGTCAGTATCTGTATGTATGCGCTGGTCGCCTTGAGCATCCGAGCGGATTAATGGGTTATGGAGTGGTTTGGGTGGATGGATGACGCACCGGAATCAAGCAGAAGTCTGCCGTGCAGTGAGGGGGAGTCGGGATGGATGCAATGTCTGCATATGCCATGATTTCGGTAGATTGAACGGGATTGTTTGCGCAGTCAATTCGTTGGTGAGGATTCAATTTTGCAAATGTGACTCGAAGCGATGAGATTTGACTGGGGTAAGGTAGGATCTTGAAGTCGAGATGCTTGATCGGAAACTCTCAAAAGAACGCGGGGTACAAACACAGCAGCGGCGGGGCACTATCCGTATAGTATCACAATTGTTCAGATTTTCAATCTGCTAAGTTTGCACCCAAACTTGCGATACTTGTGCTCGAGTTTACGCAGTTAGTCCCTCCCAATGACGACATCTGTTTCCAATCTTGCTACTATACATGATGCTGCAGCTACTGCTGCCTTGAGCCATTCTGCAACCACTTCTCATATACACCGCAGATGATATCACTTGATTCCTCCTTGCTACTGACGGACTGCCGCAGTGTAGCTGTACACTATCTCAAACTGTACATCTTCACTTTCCAGGCGTTATTATCGATTCAGACGAGAAGTGACAGACCCACGAATGCTCTGCTGCACCGAAGGACTTGACAGATGGAGCCATCGCCCAAGTACTCTAGGTTGGTACGTCGGCCATCCAGCCTTACTACCTTACCTTCCTTTCTTTTCCTTCCCCGGATTTTCCGAAAGGACCCAGTAGTTCCTCGTGCTGGTGGCTTTGCCAATTCGACAGACCGTGAGACGGGTATTCTACTTCATGCCTCTCAGGGAAGTCAAGGTGGATGATAAGGTTATGCGAGATGAAAAGGATGCCTTGGTATATCCCTTCAATTTGCGTCATCTTTCGAAGATGACTTGATTGAAAGCATTGGAGTAGAGAGGCACCGTGTCCTATGATTATTTCTGTGTTTGTTGTTCGTCCTGTCCTTTCCGCCTCTATTTGCTCGCTAGTGAGGCCCATTCCACGGTACACAGAGGGACCCCAGCAGGACCACTTTGAAACTGGATCGTGACCCCCTGGTCCGTCTGAGCCTTCGTCCTGTAAAGTTTTCCTTTTCAACTTCTCATATTACTTGCATGATCTTCCAGTCACTGTTACGCCATCGCATCAACTGACCACGCATCATTCTTCCTTCAGTGCGTTGGAGGTTGTCTGAGCGCATTAATAGGCGTCTGATGCGGCACTGACCGCCTATTTGTTAGAGCCGTGCATCGTTGTCGATTGTTCAGTGACAACGCTGTCGGCGTGCCCGACGCCCGAGGATTGAGCATCTGAGCGGCTGGACGGCTTATTATATTGTTTGAACCGTGTTGTGGTCTTCGATTGCCCTTTTCTCGTTTCAGAAATTATCTTAAAGAACTTGCAATTCTCCCCAGCAATACTCCGCTGTCGGATGCACTCAAGCTACTGACTTATTGAGCCGATCTTCAAACCGTTTCACACTACCCTGGCCGCCACCACCCTGATTGGGTGCAACCTGCCTAAGACTCGCAGGGTCAAGCGCCACAGACACCGCGAAGTTGGCAGCTCTGTCTGCATCGGCTATCAAACCAGGCGCAGACTCCTTGCTCTAATCCCACCCGGTCTAAACGGTATCGGGGTTGGGGTTCGTTTCCGGTGGATATCTACTAGTGACACTGTTGGCTACACACTTTCACGGTGTTAGGGTAGAATAGCAGATTCAGGCTGGCATAGATACCTCTAAGAGCCTCTTTACTTCGCCCTACTCTGCTGCCTCTCCGGGACCATAGCGTTCAGGCAGGCTCAGCGAAAGAAATAAATTGGGACAAATACGAACAACTTTGACTCTTTTCGATGCCTGTTCGGCGATGCTACAGCTTTGATGTCCTATCGTCAATTTGAAGTCTGCACTACCCTACTCGTTTCCGACTCACGTGCTTGACTTGTTTATATTAACCGTTAATCAACAGTGTGCAGGGAGGAAGGTCAACCCAGGATACTCGAACAACATTTTCGAGGGTTCCGCCGGAACTACTGGTCTTCCAAAAACCAATTCTCATCAGGAGACAATGGTTCATACACCGAGAGGGAGTACCATACATCGACTGGCCACTTGACGAATGACAAAACCCGCTTTTCTGGAGCTCCCCGCTGGAGCTCAACTCATATACCTCGCTGAAGGTGGAGCCAATATCATTTATCGTATTGCTTCAGCTCCCTCGCCCAGCCGCATCGGCCCCACGGACATTCATAGCGCTTCTGGGCCTCAATTGACAGTTCCTCCAGAATTCAAGGGGAAATTGCTTCGACTTAGAAAGGAAACAAAGGCAGAAATCTCGTACCAGGAGATTGCGCGTAATTTCGACAGAACTATCCGCCCATTATTCAGTCCTGAGGAACTGGTGGACCAGGAGCTTGTGTACCTTCCGAATGGACTTGTGCAGCGTTGCAATGAGCAATTAATCGCGGCGGAACGCAATGGCGAACGTCCCAAGAAGCGTCAAGGCGTGTATCTTTCGGTCACAGAGCCTTGTGGGCTTCTTGTTACGGATATGACGACTTATTGTGCCCCAGATACCGTGCTTGCGGAATTGAAACCCAAATGGCTCCTGCAGTCACCATCAGCGCCAGTTAATGCTCGGAGATGTCGCACGTGCGCGTTGTGGGACATGAAGAATCACCAGAGTCGGAGAGCAGGTGGGTCTGAAGAGCTCTCGTTTTGTCCGTTGGACCTGGTGTCCGACAAGTTTGAGAATGTCCTTCGCGCAGCCAAGTATGTCAAGGGCAGTGAGGACAAAACCAGGCTGGCAAGGATCCTCTATCGCAACCCTACATTGCAGAAGCTCTTGACGCATCAGAAGGCTATGCGTGATGTGGGGCTGCATGGACCATCGGCGCAGTCTCGAGAGCAGTCTCTTGCGATGACCCTGCGAGACTGCACGATGTTCATAAAGGTAGGCCACTCGACTCCCTCTATATCTGAGACGATTCACTAACGATTTTAGATTCCGCGTGACGAGCTAGGGCCAGTGGAAATCCGCCTTGGCGACTTGGACCTCAAAACTGGAGCTGGTGGTAAGGCACAGTACTGGCTCAATTTGGAAAGCCAGTTGATCGCAGAAGGCTGGTATCTGGGCAACAATACTGGCTTGTCCCCGAGTGAGTGCCTGCTGCAGCGTTCTTGGCCGTAATGTCATGCCTAGAGACCTTGCAGCCTCCCGACTACGCTCGCTTCTTCATTCAACTGCCAGCGTCGATTTACCATGGCACCATGCTCTAACAGCGTAGTCAACTTTTTAAACGTCTACATTTGATGATGACCTCGGACATATTCAGCTCTTTATTTTCGGTTATCAATCCCGTCATCTAATCCTGGCGACACCTTTCGGACATTATTATGGGCGGCTTTCGTTTGCATTTAATGTATATTAGAACACCTAAGATACCGTGGCTGCTACTTATGACACCTCATGTGCTTATTTTCATGTGCTTTGATAGTTTTGCATGAATGCTCAGTTGCCTCCTGCCAATGCCCTGACTAGTCCATAGTTAAGCTCAAGCCCGGGCATATGACGTCATTTATCCCCTGTCGACAGTCTCCCAATGGAGAAGGGTCTAGACCGTTATATCCGGAAGGGTCTAGACTGTAGCTTTGGATACAGTAGAAATCATTATTTCGATGGGGGGATTGCCTCAAGTGTCACAGTACAGATTAGGTGTCATTCGGGCTCATCACAGTCGTCGAAACTCAAGGACATCACCTTGTTGCGGAATCTACCTAGGCCCGTCAGCAGGATACAGGTCTACAAAGCTCAATACGCAGAGCACATATCAGATACAGATACAGCTTCAACAGACATGATTACAGCCTGCTGTCGTTGCAGAGATCATTGAAATAGGGATTCTATGTCTCTAGATCGCTATATCAGTATATTAATAAATGCCTTCGATCTGATCAGCCTCTGTTGAACTACCGGATAAAACCATTAATAATCCATTATTCCGTAATTCCGAGTTTAGTTCGATTTGATGACTACAGATTGTGTCAACATTATCCCACATGGTGTTGATACTTACTATATGCTAGCATACCCGACCCTCTATAGATATATAGCTGCCCCTCGACTGCGCGGAATTATCCTCCGTCCGCTTTATCCACAAGCACAAGCAAAAATACAGATACAAGATCATGGCATCCCCGCGACTCCTCGCTCGTTCCCCTTTATCTTCATTCCTTCGTCTCCCCATACAGACCACCAGCAAAGCAACCCTCATCCCATCCACTATATCAAGAGTACATAGATCCTTCACTTCTTCGCAGACCAAGGCGGCACCGCCCAAGATGTCCCACACAGACACGCTCATCGAGCTGGCCAAAGCCCGCCGCACAATCTACAAACTCGGCAAGAACAGCCCAGTTTCCGACTCCAAGATCGAAGAGGTCGTCAACGCAGCCATCCAGCACATCCCCAGCTCCTTCAACACCCAGTCCACGCGGCTGGTGGTACTTTTGCACGCCGAGCACGAGCGCCTCTGGGAAATTGTCATCGACACATTCATGCAGCTCGTCCAGAGCGGCGCTGTGCCCGAGTCCATATGGAAGAACCAGACCCTGCCTAAACTGCAGGGCATGAAGAATGGTGTCGGGACTGTATGTCTCTCCATCAGCAGTCTCCTAAAACGGATCCATTAAGCTAACCCACCACGCCATAGATCCTCTTTTACGAAGACCCAGCACACATCAAGCCCTTCTCCGAGAAATTCGCAACCTACAAGGAGCACTTCCAGCCCTGGGCGGAGCACTCGAATGCCATGCATCAGTACTTCCGTACGTTTTTCTCTCCGTGTCATCTGCGCTTGCGCTTGCGCATACTAATATCCACGAAAACAGTCTGGACAGCCCTCGAGTCTCTCGGTTTCAGCGCAAACCTCCAACACTACAATCCCCTCATCGACGGCCCCGTCGCCAAACAATGGGATATCTCCTCGGACTGGCGCCTCATCGCGCAACTCGTCTTCGGTAGCCCGGAGGGCGAACCAGGCGAAAAGTCCCAGAAGCCCATCGAAGAGCGGGTTAAGATCTTTGGCAAACTATAACTGACCTCATCCTTGTACCACTGCACTAGACACGATGTGAGTAGAATAGATTTAAATTAGAGATTATATATACAATCATACATATATACCCAGCATGAAGTCATCACTCGTCACTGGCCACACTGGACGTCAAACGTCAGGAGGCAATATGATCTATCCCCGCTGATATCCCTGTCCCGCCCACCTGGACGGCGGAAAGTTGTAGTCATCATACCCTTGGCCCGCATATCGACTCTGAGGAAAATCGTAAGTATCATACAGGTCTTGCTTGGCGGCTAGGACCCATCCGGCGTCTGATAATCGTTGACGGAGTGCTTTGAGACTCAGTATTCGCTTGAGTTTGGCCCGGAGGTCGCCCATGGTGAGTTGTATATAATTAATTGGAGGCGGCGGCGGAGGCCGTAGAAGTGTAGGATGCTGGGCGTTCAACGTGCGAGGTCCGATATTCAGTGGAGCAGGTAGAGGACGTTTTGAATAGAGAATCTTGTAGTTCCCCTGGAGGCTTTTATTTCTCAATCCAGAAATTCAAATTGAGACCTCGGTAAAATGTTTGGGTAGAAAAGAATGGTTCTCTACTTCGCCGCTGGTAATGTGACGGCCCAAGAAGGTGGTGACGCGAATGTGAAATCAGGAGAACTTGAACAACCATTTTGACCAGCTTCGAGCATTCTTTATATTTATATCTCTCTAAACGGCTCAGCAAGTCTAATAAACAAAATAAAATTACGTATTGCAAAACTTCTCCTGAGAGTGGCGAGAAAATTGTATCAAAAGCAGAAAATGCGAGGGTTTTCCGAGTTTGAGCCGAAGATCGATCGTTGTATGCATATATTAGACCTAACTACCTACTCCGTACAATAAGGGATAACTTAGTAAAGTCACCGTTCGCAACAAATGGTCAAACCAAGCAGTTCAACACAGCAGAACAATTAATTGCAAGAAAGCTCCAAATCAATCATTGGTCCCTGAAGAGGATATAAAGCAAGAAACGGCAATCAAAGGCGACAAGCACAATCTGACTACAAGGACTCGTGACTCAACGAGATGTTCGGTACCAAAATGCCTCCGGATCCCCCAAGCATTCTCCAACTGTGACCGCTGTCGTCGGATTAGCATATGTTAAGCGTAAATCACATTGTCAATAGTCACATACTTTGCAATCCTCTCGCGCGGATCTCCTCAAGCATTGCCCTTGTCAATGTATACACGGTTTGCTCATGCACATCGTGGGACAGGATGATGCTTCCGCCGGCGTTCAACTCGGTCCGGAACTTTTCAAAACTGCGGGAGATCAAATCGGGATGGTCATTCTCATAGTCCTTCGTGTCGATACTCGCGCTGATGACATGGTACCCTAGGTCACCCATGGCCGACAGCACTAGGCCATTGAAAGCGAGGAAAGGTGGCCTCATGTACGTCGGATAGAATCCTAGGACTTGCATAAAGGCATCTTCCAATTGGGTCATCTGCGCGACAATGGCAGGATAGTCCAACGAGGTGAGATAAGGATGGCCCCAGCTAAGAACAATTGTAAACTCCTGCAATTGATGATTGAACTGGTGGATACGTACGTATGCGAGCCAATCTGATGACCTTCGTCGAAAATACGCCGCACGACAGTCGCGTCACCATGAAAGCTCCCTTTGTTTTGGCCATTGAGGAAAAAGGTCGATCGCGCACTGTATGCACTAAGGAGTTCCAGGAGATCAGGAGTGTAGACGAATGGTCCGTCGTCGAATGTCAGAGCGACCGTGCCAGGAATGACGCATCTGTCCAAGATGGCTCCGAAGGGCACAGGGGAGTTTCGCTTTCCGATGGTCTCAATCAGAGGAGATGCCCAGCTTTCGCAAATAAGGTTTGAGGCAGAGACGAAAAGAACGAATATAGCCCAGCGGCGAGAGGAAACCATGATGACGACCGGCTGCTAAGCGAACGAGTAAGAATGAATAAAGAGTGTGAAATATTGATAGTGCTTCAGTAACTGGTATAGGTAAGGGTCTGGAGGTGTGGATAGGAAGATTGAGGAGAAAAGGATCGGCATTGGACACAGTAGACTCGGCGCAGAATATTTAAAGCCCTCTGCCTGCGATGGAAAAGGGAAGACGAGGAAGGCGTAGCTCAGGATAAGCAAGGCATGGCTGCTGCATCGTTGTGATGCTAGTACTTGCAAGCAGTTTGGGCGGAAAGAATATGGGAAGGAGGCGACGAGGACTTCTAAGGATGTTGAGACGCAGGCTCGTTCAAAGTTTTTGGGGGAGATGTCAGAGGATGCACTTTATGGACTATTAACACCTTCTTTTCGAACTGGAAGATTATGATGACATTAAAAAGGCCAAGTGCATGACTTTCGTAAATGATTCTCGAAAGTATATCTCTGTGAAGTCAGCATTTCATCAAGAAAGCTTTCAAGTTCATCTTCCGAATCCCAGCTACATCGCGCACCCACACATGACAAAGATTTTTATGAATACATTGATATAAAGGTAAGGAGCACCGAAGAAAGACTGACGACTTCCAATATTGGAACGAATCTAAAAGCGATCATGCTCTCTTGGTCTGCTTCTTCATAGAACGTCTCTGGCCCTTTTGCGATTCACGCTCGAGGAACTTGCGCTGCTCTTCGGCAGTCATGCCACGGAGGAGTCGCTCTCGCTCCTCCTTCTTGATCTTCTCAGCCGCCAGCCTGCGCTCCTCTGCCTTTTCTTCCTCGTCAGCGCGGCGAAGCTTCTTGATTTCTTCTTCACGGACGTGCTTGATCTTGCGCATCACCTCCGGGCGGAAATGAGCAGACGCAACGAGCTTGTCAGTAAAGCGAAGGAACTGGTTGAATAGTGGCATGGTGGCGGAATAACCAGACGCAGACGAGGGGAGAGAGATGGAATAATGAATGCGCTTCCGGGGTGTGGTCTCCTCGATCCTGGGAGTAGTATTAGTCTCGATGTTCCATTTTTTAACCAAGGAATGACTCACTTCAACGGCTTGTCGATGGGCTGGTCAGTGACAATGAAATATCTGAAAGAGTCACCAGCCTTCTCGATAGCCTGAATCAATTCAGGTGTGAGGAGAGTATCGGTGATTTCGGCACTTTCTGTCATAACGGTAACCCAGGATGGTAGCTTGGCATTGTCCTTGGTAAAAGCCATCGAGGCATCGTAGCGATCCTGGCGAAACTTGCGCATGTGGTTCTTGTGCACAACAGCCCAAATGAAGCCATCGTAGGCCGAGTTGTTCACCTTCAGGGAGGAAGTATCGTTGGCGGGTACGGGAACCAGATCCTTTTCCCTGCCATCAAAGGTGTAGGCGACTGCCTCGAATGTCTCGGTAGGAGCCTGCCAGCTGTCGAAGAAAAAGCTGAGAGCATAATCGGACCAGTAAATGATGGGGTTGTACCGCTTGGGCAACTTGATAGACATGTCAACGAAGGCGATGTTCTGTCTGCCGGTGGCATAGGAGATGAACTCCTGCGCAGACTTCTCCTTCAAGATGGACTCCGGGGAGATCGATTCCGCAGGAGCAGTATCGGCCACCCCGGTGGATTTGTGGACGCCATCGAATCCCACGACCGCGAACTCGCTCTTAAGAGCCGGCGCATGAGCCTGAGCCCATTCCCTGGCTCTCCGTCTATTCGTGCGCGTGCCCCAGAGATGAAATACAACAATCAGAAGGATCAATGGCATGACCATTGCTTCCTGCATGAAGTCCTTGGGAGAGGTCCGCTCCCAAACTCGGTACCATTTTGTGTAGGGAACGGCGGTGGCACCCTGGGTGTCGAGGGCAGGGACCGACGACGACCCCGCTATTATGGACGCAGGGGACGGCTCGGGAGCCTTCACAAAGTCGGCAAAATCTAGAAAAGCGACAAGAACAGGTCAGGAGAGCAATGACAATAGGAAGAATGGAGCAAATGATGCCTTCCCAGAACCATGGGGCAGCACTCACCATCCTCAACTTTGGCTGGATCTGACGGCTGAGAGCCGCCAAACATATTCTTGAGCATGCCGGCCATTGTGGAAGGAAGACCTGATCAACGGAGCCTTATCGTAACGTGGCAGAAGGGAGAGAGGCGAGGAAGCGAAGAGGGAGGGAAAGGGTTGGGGTCGATTTGACGTTCGCGATCGGAGCTGCGCTAAGGTGGTTTAGTGTGTGGAGCCGAACTCTGGGCAGCTCCATTGACATAACCCCGAGATAAGAGTGGTACCACGGTGAGTGACTAAAGCTTCGTCTAGACACACAAAGATTTGATATCAAGGGAGAAGATGGGGTGTGCTCGCGAAGTTTAGGATTTTAGTAGCAAACTAAGGAATTGTTGCCTGTAACATTGAGGCTTGAGTTAAACCAATTTCCATTCCACCATCCCATCCTATGCCGAATACCAACGGCTAGTCGCTACCACGTTAGATATAAAAAGAACAAAGAGAGATATGAAAGATAGAAAGCGAGTGAGTGGGCGAGACAGCAGAGACAGATATACAGTTCGGACAAAAGAGTGAGTGAGGAGTGGTATCCTGCGCAAAATACAAGAGACGCCGCATAGAAGACAAATATGGACGCCGAAGCCATTTAGAAATACAGTTCATCATACAAAAAGTCTAGAACCCGCTTCGAAAAAGAGACACCAAGATGAATAAAATAGTCGAAATAACCAGCAATTAAAGGTATTGTCGTATCGGTCATCAAGTTTCCAGACTCGCTGGATTTTGAGGCACAGGGCCATGGAAGGAAGAAGAGAAGAACAAGAGACTCATGAGAATCCAGAATAATATGGATCAATGGCCATAGGCCGGCGGAGGAGACTCTTCTTGGCTGTGGCGGTCCCAAAAGGGACCGCAGGCGTTGCTTGCCATGAATTTCTCGTCTCTCATGCGACGAGCAATCTCTCCGGCGAGTCTTTCAACCAAGGCCTGGTCGACAACCCCGCCGGTAGGACTGTCACTGATAAACGGAAGGATCGTGGAGGGTAGTTGTCGCGATGACCCTGCGGACGAACCAGCGGCCTGTTTCCCATTTTCAAGAACAGAGGCACCATTGGCGCGCATAGTGGCACGAGGCGTGGCGCTCGGGTCCTCGTCCTGAGTGGCCTGTCCGGCTGGGTTGGACGATGGTTTAGATTCTGCCGCATCGCGGATCATCTCTGATGCTATCTCACGCCGGAGCGCAGGCCGAGATATACTCATACGGTTTCGTTCGGGGATTGTAGGAAGGTGTAGATCACTATCCGGGGACAAGGGGGGCGTCACCGGATCATCTGTCAGTTCATCTAAGATGGGCAGAGGGGCTGAGCAGATGGAGGGAGCGCTGGTCGACTCGGTAAATGCGCTCTCATCGCTCACGCTTGGTGCGTCATCAGTAGTCTTCGGGCGACGCAGATCCACAACACGCTTCTTTCGCTTTCGAGCATGAGCCTTCGAATGACGGCCAGCCCCTAGACTCAAGCCATATCCGCTAAATGTGTGGGAAGGTGTCGAAGACCGACTCTGGCTCGAAACCATGCTGGCCGAATCTGGGAAGGACGACATACTGCCAATCTGGGACTGCGTTCTGGAAAGGACGGGACTGAAGGGTGACGTCACGCTTCCTGAGGCATCGGTTTGATCTGAAGGCGAGGTCCATGCGCGGTAAACCACCTCTCGAATGGAAGGGGTGAAAAGTGATAACGTTCGTTGAGAATCCGTAAGGGCAGCCAAGCGCAAAAGGTTTTTTTGAGAAAACAGTGAATGAGTTTCGACAGAGGAATCCAAGGAAAGCGATTCGATTTCTGACTCGTTCAAAGCGTTCCCGAGAGCGTCCACGGGATCCTGTGGTGGGCTGGCCAGAGGATCTTGACCAGGTCCTTCGCCATTTGCGCTTTCCGATTGAGTCTGCAATTCCTCCCCAGCTCGGTACTCCGGAACCCACAATCGAAGCGACAATCGATGTATGATAGCGGGCAACTCATCCATAAAGAGGATACGCAGCTGCGCTTCAATTTCCTTTTGCAAGAAATCGCGCACAAACGGGATAGAGTCAAATGTCGAAGAAACCTTGAGTGATTCGAGCGGGTCGTTTCGGAAAACCACGGTGATTCCTTTTTGTTTCGAGAAGACCAAGATGACAAAGCCGGATAATTTAAAATCGGAAAGAGTAATTTGAAGAGGTATTGTCAGAGGAGTACTGGAGAAAGTGTCAGCTCGTGCAGAGGCGACAGCAAAACCTATGCCACTTACGCTGCAGCCAGAGGTAGGGGCGTTGCAAAGGAGGGTCGTGTGACGAGATATGTATTCAGCGGATTCGCTTGGACTCGCGTTTTGAGAGTCAGAAATGTGTCTCCCGAATAGGACATCTTGAAGATGCCTCGAAACCGGTCCTCCGCCAGGTCTCCAATCTCCAAGATCTCCAGCTCTGGGGGGATGGAACCAAGGTTGAGCTCCGTTACGATAATATCGTCGACGATGATGGGCGGTTTCGGCGATTTATTGAGCGCAGCTGTTAATAAATCTTGCGCACGAGTGTAGAAACTCGCGTCCGCCATAAGCGGCGACCAGTTGAAGTTGAACGCCATAGCAAAGCATTGATTGAAGATGGAAGGGTTAACTGACGGAACCCACGGCGCGCTAAGAGAAAAAAAATATGTCCGTCCTTGGACGACGGGTAAGGCGTAAAGGGCCGTAGAGTAACTGAGGAATAGGATGGAATGGGAAAAGAAGAGATGAATAGAGGATGGGATGTGAGGAGTTGATGCGATGAAAGAGCCTTGAGGCTATGGGTTAATGCGAAAGGAAGAAGAGAGAGGAGTGAAAAAATGATGGTCGAAGCGAGGATTCCCGAGGTCGCATGGGTTCCCGGCGGTACAGTGGGTAAAGTACCCAGATGGCAAGTTGACTCGCGTGATCCACGCGACACCAGATGATGAGGTTCGACTTAATCAATGAT